TTGGCAAAAGACGTGACTGATTCTGTATCCAATGAGAAAGTGCACAACGAGAGTCTGACCAGAGTACTACCTTTGTGTTCTTTTGCTCCAATTGCTTGATAACGAATGAGCTGCGCGCACCCCGATGAAGATCGCCAACAGTTCTAGTTTTGGTATTGTCATGCCTTTAATAGGAGCTATACGAGATTTTGCGAAAATTAAGGATGTTTCCGTACCCTGGTTAGCATTTACTGCGGGTAATATTATTCTTGTATCGGCAAGAGGATGTTCGGAATGCAGCAGTTCACGTCTTTAGAAAGCTGTTCCGTAGAAAGAAACACAATATCCACCCAACTAATGTTGTTGGATTTGGAGAATGAACAAATCAAACCATTTTTCAATTAGATGAAATTATTTTGTAAATTGCATTCCGGAATTTTTTTCAAGCATGTCAAATAATTTCATAAAGAAAGAACACAATGAATTCTCAGAGTTACATTTTGTTCATATGCTTATAATAATTGATGTTTCAAATAAAAATCTCATGAAATTCGAAAGAGATTTTCTCTTAATTCTTTATTAAAATTACATCATCAACGATTAGAATATACCACATCTCAGTGTTTTTCTCAGTAAGGTTAATTTAAATTGATTTCATTTAAATCATGTAAGGATGCGAAAGAGTTAATTTTTTGATGAGTTTTCTACTGAAAGTCACAAATAATCTCTTTCTCGAGCAAAAGCTTTCTATCAATAACCACAGTTATCAGTTAATGTGGTATGGCGGTGATTATTTTCAGAAAGAATTAGTCTTGAAAATTTGCTTAAGGAGTGGAAATACTAACAATACGTTGCTTTTGTTTCAATAAAAATTTTTCATCTTTTTTTCTCTTATTGCTGGTGACTATTTATTTGCCTTTCTGCCTTTTATTATTCTACAGGGGTAAATTTCTACAGAGTGTAAATAAAACAAAGTGTAATTTAAGTAATCTGTTACAAAAGAGTAATTATTGTGGTTGCTTCGAGCAAAATTTATTTTGGGAATAATACATTGATATAGTTTTGATAGGATAAGTTTCCTTGGTCTGAAGCAGATTTTGAACTGGAATAAGTGGTTCAGATTGATTTTTTGTTTAATATAGTTTTTCTTAGTCTGAAATGAATATATAATGCAAAACCTAAAATAATACGAAAAAATATGGCAATGAATTCCTATGTGAAGTAGTAAATTTCAAGACCATCCAAATCTGCGGATGCATTG